AGGCGACATTGCCAAGAAGTGGACATTATATAGGCTGTAAGTTTATTGTGTGTGCAAGGTGTGCGTGCTGACGGGCGGCGGCAGCGGGCTGGTGGTGGGGTGGTGCTGCGTGGGCGCGACCGAGCCGGCGGCGGAGGGCCGCCACTGGGCGCAGATGGCGCACGAGACGCGCAAGGCCGTCGCCATGTGGCACACGCTCAGATAGACTGCTCACCGCCTAACATAATATGATCTTTTGCGCAAACTACACGTCACTGTACACATTATATCAGACAAAATAAAAAAAAATCGTGTGTGCAGTTGCGATAGGAGTGAAACCTTCAGAAAAAGAAGCATAGATAATAGAAAACACTGTATACTGTTTTCTATCTCATTCTCTCGCAGGTTAAAATCTATAGATGTATATGTTTGTCTCTTTTTAGAGTCGTTTTTCGTTTCGAGTTTCAAATCACAACGACTCTAAAGACGTTTTCACTTCAAAAATACATATTTTTAAAGCGACTGAAAGCTATCTTAAACCAAAAATTCTAATAAAATAATAATAAAGTAATTGTAAAACAATCTCACTAAGGGCGGATTCGACCAAACTAAGTATAAGTCTTATCCTAAGAATAAAACCACTGATTACTCTCGAGTTAGAGAACTATCTTTTCACCAAATCTTAACCCAGGTATAACTGTCTATCCCAGAGTAAATTGCTATACCGCCAAAATTCATGGAGTAAATAAGTTATCCCAGAGTATTTTAATGGCGGCCGCTACATTTTAACAGCTGTTTTCGTATCCTTTGTTGAAAAAGTAGGATATTTTATCGTTGTGCATTTATAGTTGCTTGTATTTTTGTGATATTTGTAGGGATTATTTTTTTAAATAATTCAACGTTTACGAAATATGATCGAAGATTCCGTCAATTTTTGGCTTCATCGTAACCCCGTCTGTTTTTTTTTTTTATTTTCAATGACACGAAAATGTTTTTCTACTAGTTCTAACAACACATTCCTTTTCGAAAGTAACCAATTTGGGCTACGTTTTTTTTTTCTGCAGACATTTTATTTCAGAAGATAAGAATAAGATTAGATGAATAATCAACTGACAACTCAACTGGTGTTAATATTCTAGTGTTCTGTGACAGTTGATACTATTAAAATCCGGCAAAACTAAGTGGGCAGAAAATCTTGCATTGCGCTATGTAAACAATTGTATTTCGATTTTAGTTGGCTTACATGTTCATTCGTTTTTCATTCACCAACTCTAGAGTAACAATACCCAGTATTAGCTACTCCTACGTTTGTGTTGAAAAAACGCAAAGGAAGTTATCTGAGAGTAAGAGCAAAGAGTAAAATTATTCTAGGGTTAGTTACTCTGGAGTAACATGGTATTTGGTCGAATCCACCCTTAGTAAGGCTTGTTTCTAAGCCTGGTATTCAGATATATTATCTGGGTTAAACTCAAACTTCACAATAGAGGCTAATCTATATTATGTTACATAATTTTATACATTATGAAGTTTTGAGTTTTAACTCGAGATTGTACCTGAATACCTGCCTAAGAGTCCGACTGTGTCGTTGCCTCCCAGTTACCTAATTCTGCAACCAAGCAAAAGTGCACCCACTGCTTTATTACGATTTGAATAGATACAATATATTAAAGCGAGTCACACACTACGCAGATACTATATCTGTATCTGAATGAAATTCAATGAATTAACACACACAGCTCAGATAATTTATATTTTATCGTTAATTGTCCGTAAGCACCGACCTACATCGAAAGATGGTATAACAGTATTATCTGCTCATACAAATACATCTGCAGGTAACATCTACACTACAAATATGGCATAGGATTTTTACCTGCATATAAATACAGGTGGTCCTTTTTAAACTTTATATGACGTTATATCCAAATTCTTCGCCTTTTAGTAAATGCTAATGCAACACGTGCATCAAAATCAAAATCTGAATTCTATTCTGACATGTCTAGCAAACCTAGAAGCAATATCGCCAACTCATTGTAAGTAACACTCTGTATAACCAATTCGCTCCAAAAAACACGTCTAGTAAGTTTGAAGTATTTTGAGTGAATTTAACATTTCGTATATTATCGTATGTGCGTAGTGTGTGCTACTTTCAAATAATTAAGTGTTTATAAGCAGATAAAATATTATCGTATCTGTGTATTGTGTCTTTAATTTGGTAACAGGTTTACCTCTACATTAGGCACTTAACATTATATGTATTGTTAGCTCGTTTGTCATTTTGATAATGTAATTTAATTTTAATCATTTTTATATTTTATTTTGTTTGTTCTTTTTTTAGAAAATTATAATAATTATGTCGGTACGTAACATGTGTATGTATATCGGTATAATATACACGTGCTCCCGTATGTGTAGGACATAATATATTAGGCTAAACTTAACTGTGTAGTTTCATATTATAACACTGAACTCTTTACGTGAATACGCGCCAAAAAATCACGTTTGGAACCATGTGAGACATTGCTGTGAAAAAATAATTACGGTTACTATTTGCAACTGGAGTAAATTTTATGTCGATAGTTTCAATATTTTTGACATGAATCCGTACGTTCAGAGGCAGACAAAAAATATTTTTTTATATTAAAAAAAATTAAAATATACGAAAATTTTATGTTCGAATATTTGTGAGACATTGCTGTGAAAAAATAATTACGGTTACTATTTGCAACTGGAGTAAATTTTATGTCGATAGATTCAATATTTTTGACATGAATCCGTACGTACAGAGGCAGACAAAAAATATTTTTTTATATTAAAAAAAATTAAAATATACGAAAATTTTATGTTCGAATATTTGTGAGACATTGCTGTGAAAAAATAATTACGGTTACTATTTGCAACTGGAGTAAATTTTATGTCTATAGATTCAATATTTTTGACATGAATCCGTACGTACAGAGGCAGACAAAAAATATTCTTTTTATATTAAAAAATTCAAAATATACGAACATAAAACTATATGTAACCTAAAATTTAGATAATTACACACAGATAGCATAATATTTACTAAAACAAATAGATTAAGTACCTACTTAATCTGAATAATTTGGTACTGTCCTTTACTGATGTCGATACGTTAGAGCGATTTTTTATGTGCAAAAGATCATATTTGAACAGAAAGTGTATTTACCAATATAATATTCAAGGCAAAAGCAAATGCCTTTTAGATAAAATTGATTATTTGAGAAAATCGCAATAGTACCTATATCTGCCTTCTAAATGTCCAGTGTTAACTGTGGGCTCTTTCCATTCCTATCATCATTAAATATAATTACATTTACATTATCGTAGTTGCCAGTTACTTAACGTCTATCTATACGTATGATTTATCGTGTTATCAAATAACGCTCAATCTTCAATGAAAATATATCTTTACTGAAAATATAAATTATATAATTGATTGGAGCTTCGAAACACCAAACTAATCTTATGAATTTAAAGAATTTTATATAAGAGTAATATATTAATTTTAATAATTTATTAAATCATGCCCAATAAATCTTAACTGGTTAGTAGATTAATAAAATTAAAAAAAACCCTACATGCCCACAGTTATTTGTTCTTATAAATGTTTACCTGTTAAGAGTCTAGTCATTCCAATGTGAGATCTTTAAAATAGAATTTGTATGAGTATAAAGGTCCTTAATACGTATTTTTGTCTGAATAATCATATCTGTGTGGAAAAGAATTTAATTTTTAATTTCTTTTAAATTGTCTGAATAAAATGTCTATTTGTTAAATTTATTTCTAACATTTCATTTAAGACTTTGTGGTGTGAATAAATAAAAAATCGAATTTACAACAACTCATTTATTTATAACTTTTTTACAAAATGTACAACGCATAATTTAAAAAAAAAAGTAATCGACTTAAACTAGGCTTCGGCACAAGTAAATTATTACCATTGCTGAATCGACCACGATGGTGTCCAAGTGAAAGTGTAACAAGTCTGTATTCAGGGCACTACTAATTCACTATTTTATAAGTTACACGCAACTTACCACTGCCGCTGATCTCTCGCTCTCACACGAACGTCACCAACTAGAATTGGATGTAAAAGTAAAAAAAATATTACTCCATAAAACAATGGTTATAGAATCGCATGACATGATGAATTAATAAATCTAATGTAACTATGTACTTATTCCTAGAATGGAATTGACTAGCAGATATTTATTTGCCACTATTATACATTAAAAAAGAACTAGAACGCTTCAAGCATACGCCGTTTTTTTACGACCGTTGTGTATATGTATATCACCATTAAATTTAGCTTGTGATGTGCCGGATATTTATATTTGAACTTCAGGACACCTGACACTTCAAAAATCCGTGAAGTCATTCAGGCTACAAGACATCTCAATTAATTAAACATTCCAACATACACATAATATACAAACACACTCTCGAAAACATTAACCCTCTTTCTGGAACAGTCGGGTGTTAGCTTATCAAATTGCATATCAATAACCACATGTAGATTGAAGCAAATAATATTTTTGCTACCAATAGATAAGATTATTTTTAAAGACACAATTTAATTCGCATCAATTCGTAATAAAGAATAAGAAATTATTCGTCACATTACTGGCATACGAAAAAATTTAAATATTTAAAATTCTTAGGTACCTTTGGGTAAAGGTTAAAAAAATAAACCACGCATTATCAAAGAATAATATCAAATGCGACAAACCTTTCCGGACGTACTACAAAATGAAGCAGTAATTAAATATGATAAAATACTTTTAAATATTTCTTCTAATTAGGATATGATTCATGCAATACTATTAACGCAACTTTCATAGGTTTAAAAAGCTACATAAAATACTTTACACGTCGCTGTTGAGTCCATTGCTGTCGCAGCAGATAAGGATAGGGGAAGGAGGCAGGACCATAAGGAGTTTATATTTCAGGTAAGTATTGCATAGGCGGGTAATGTTTGTGGGATTTGAGGGTGTGTGTCATTGACGTGATGGGATTTTAGGGTGAAGGAATTTGCAATCTGAGTCCCTGCAACTGCCGCCGACCTCGTAAGGACAGAGAAACGCGTTTGGGTCTTCTTTCCAACTGAAAAACATATATTCCAGAAGTTATAAAAGTCAAACAAAGTTCCGTGGATAGTCTAGATGCATACTTACATCGCGGTGCAGAGCGGCGATGTGCGTACGCAGAGCTCAATCCACGTATTGTGCTTGTTAACGAAGTTACTACATCAGATATAAATACTGAAAGTCTTGTACAACGGGCCTAACATATTACTGGCAAGCAAATGTATTTTTCATAGAATATATAAATAGCACATCTCTCACTGTAAATAGACAATTACAAGATAAAATTAGATTTTAGCGACATGCCAGATCCGATGTGCGTACGCAGAGCTCAATCCACGTATTGTGCGTGTTAACGAAGTTACTACATCAGATATAAATACCGAAATTCTTGTATAACGGGCCTAACATATTACTGGCAAGCAAATGTATTTTTCATAGAATATATAAATAGCACATCTCTCACTGTAAATAGACAATTACAAGATAAAATTAGATTTTAGCGACATGCCAGATCCGATGTGCGTACGCAGAGCTCAATCCACGTATTGTGCGTGTTAACGAAGTTACTACATCAGATATAAATACCGAAATTCTTGTATAACGGGCCTAACATATTACTGGCAAGCAAATGTATTTTTCATAGAATATATAAATAGCACATCTCTCACTGTAAATAGACAATTACAAGATAAAATTAGATTTTAGCGACATGCCAGATCCGATGTGCGTACGCAGAGCTCAATCCACGTATTGTGCGTGTTAACGAAGTTACTACATCAGATATAAATACCGAAATTCTTGTATAACGGGCCTAACATATTACTGGCAAGCAAATGTATTTTTCATAGAATATATAAATAGCACATCTCTCACTGTAAATAGACAATTACAAGATAAAATTAGATTTTAGCGACATGCCAGATCCGATGTGCGTACGCAGAGCTCAATCCACGTATTGTGCGTGTTAACGAAGTTACTACATCAGATATAAATACCGAAATTCTTGTATAACGGCCCTAACATATTACTGGCAAGCAAATGTATTTTTCATAGAATATATAAATAGCACATCTCTCATTGTAAATAGACAATTACAAGATAAAATTAGATTTTAGCGACATGCCAGATCATAAAAAGTAATTGTTAACTTATTCGATAGTTAATAATAGAAGTATTGTGTGGTTATGTAAAATATTTATTTTAAAATACAATGATCATCCAAAACATCTCTTTTAAAGAGTTAGGCACACAAAAATTTATACATCAATTCCGAACTATAGTAATTACTATTTCTCAGATACTATGAAATCTAACATGTCCCTGTAAACAGTTCTAATTCTAAATTATTGAAATATTTTGTACTACTTTCTACTTTCTTTCTCTATAGTTTCTTTATATATATATATATATATATATATATATATATATATATATATATATAATATAAATATAAATTATATAAACATATATAATACAATAGAAATTATTCGCAGTATGTCTTCTATAGTCATTATAACCTGTGCTACGCAAATTACGTAATCAAAATATTTAAAAAAAACTACTTACGTGGTTCTTCCAAATGCTTCAAGTGGAGACCGATAATCATTCACACTATTGTCTTTTTTTTCAGGACCACTTGAGCAACTAGTTTTCGGAATTTCTTCATCACAAGTAGATTTTTCTTCAGAAGCAACGGCTTCTATCCTTTCCTTATTATCTAAATTTTTTTCAACCAAATTAACGATTCTGTCTTTTTCTGGACTCTTAGGCAGTTTAACAACTTTTTTATTACTTTTTGTATCAACTTGGACAGACAGTTTGGAATCAACTCCAGTATTTTCTTTACTTAAGTCATTGACGAAACTTACTTTCACTGCCTTGAGCATGGTAGAGACTTTATGATCATCTTTAGTGGGATTATTTTCTTTTTGTAATTTATTAGTAATAATTTTGTTATTAGTTTGGTTTACTAGCAGTCCTCCAGTGGAATGTTTAAAATTTGAGCTGAAAAATATTATAATTACAATAAAACTTTAAACAAATAACTTTATCAGATCTTAAATAGACAATACCTTTTTAATAACATTTGATGCTGCGCTCTGATTCTTGACAACTTATTTTGTACAGTCCTTTGTTCTTTTTTGTTTAGCGTAATTGCAGTCGATATATTTCGTAGCTCTGTTGCGACTATTTTATATTTCTGCAGCAGTTTTGTACCTTCTTCTTTTAGTTTAAGCATTTTTGCAGATTCTGCTGCTATGTTTTTTCTGCATAAAATTTATATTTAATATCTGTACACATCATTACCTACTCTATGCGTATATATATTTAATAATAAATTTAATAAATTAAAGTGGATGTGACTATTACTCGTTTTCTGCTTTGAAGTTCATCTATGTAGTACAGAACTAAGAATCAATCAGAGGTGACAACGCACTGCTGGTGCTGAGAATTACTTGACAGAACAATTCAATAACTGAATTTAACCCCACCCGGGATTTCATGATCAACAGTCGGGTTTATGACCACTAGACCAACAAGACAGTCAGTTTACTATTAGTTATTGTACGAATCAATTACAAACTGACAGCACTGTGAACGTGAGGATAGTAACCTCACTAAGGACTCGGTTCTTTTTAGTGTCGCAAGAAAACGGTTAAAAAGAACAATATATATACTTTAAGCATGGTCAATTATCATATCAATGGCACATGCGAAACATTATTTCATGATATGTTTTAACACCAAAACAACTCAGTAACAAATTGAAAAAAGTTTTCCACTCAAATTTTTTTCAGAAGCATCCATAATCTTTCTTATTTTTCTGATGAACAAAAACGCAACATTCATAATATAATAATAAAAAACTAAAATACCTTGACTCTGCAATTTTTTCCTCCAAATTATTACTGGTAAGATTTCTATTTTCCACGGCAACATTTCTAGGCTTTAAAGTTTCTTTAAGTACTGAAGTGACATTTTGTGACATAGTTAATGACTGTCTTGCTTGTTTTATCTTCTCTAACTCAGCCATTCTTTTAACCAAATTTTTATACTCTATTTGTTCAGATTTAGGTAAATGGTTTACTGCCTAAAATTCATATTTTTATTATACATTTACAATAACCAATAACAAACTAAAATTCTAATTTTTCCTACCTTAGCAACATATTTAACATGCGGCTTAGTATCTGATGGTTGCTGCACAACATCGGGTAGTTTAGTGCTTTCAACTTTCATCCGCGTTGACTTTAGGAATAAATCTAGTTTTTGCTGAAAATCTACTTGCTCTGATAATTTCATATGCATCTTAGTTAAATTTTTTGTAGCTTCATGTTCAACTTCAGAATCAGAGTCACCTAAGTTAATAATAAACTTCTTTTCTTCTGAAACATTCTGTTTGACTTGAGGTTTAGCTGAAGTTTTCTCAATACTTGTTGAATCGTCTATTTTATTAACCACACCAATGTCCACCAAATTTGGTAAATTTTTAGTCAAAGATGTTAATAATTTTGCTCTTAACAGATCTTCATCTTCTTCAAATTCATCTTCTTTAGAAGTATATGGAGTAGTAACAGTTTTACTAATATCTGATAAAGGTTTGTGTTCTGTATGCTCGCCACAATTTACAGGCAATTCTTTTGCTTTGTCTTCACCATCGGATCCTATATCCATATCAACTGATTCTATATCAGTATTATTTTCGACGTCTGTAACATTGCCCAATTCCTCATGATCAATCATTAAATCATCCTGCAAACTTGTAGATTTTGTTTTTAATCTTTTTCTTAATTTCTGTTTAAATTTCATTTCAATTGCTTTTTTTAGAAAAGCCGATTTAAGGCAAATAAGCCTCAATTCAGCAGTATCGCTATCATCATCTTCAGACGTTGGTTTATTTGGAGCTGCAGCTGATTCTTTTGGGATATCTGGTTTTAATTTTAAGCTTTTTGTTTTGAGAGCATGTTGACGAAGCACTTCAAGCTCATCGTCCGAATCCTGTTTATCAATCTTATTCCCTTCTATCACTTCTATGTTTTCTTTGATATTTGAATCTACCATATCTTGAGTTACCATTTCTGTCACAGGCGTTTCAATTTCTTTGCTGTCTTCAGAGCACAAATCTATTAGTTCAAACGGAGATTGCGCTTTTTCTTTATCTTTTTCAAGTTGAGTTGTGTCTATCTTTTTTTGACAATCTATTTCTATTATTTCAAAAGGGGTTTCACTGTTGTTTTCTTCTATTTTCTTCACACTGTTGTTTTCCCCATTTTTTTCGACACTATAATCCTCAACCAAATTTTCTACCATATTACTAATTTCTATATTCTCAACACTTATATATTCTTTATTATTTGATCCACAGAGCATCTTCTTCAATCTAGCTTTTAAAGAGGTAGTGTCCCCTTTTGCTTTATTAAAAGTAACTGCATTTGCTAATTTACGTCTTTTATTTCTGTACTCATCATCAGATTCTTCACTTGATTGATTTACAACTTTTACCTCTAATCTTCTTTTACGATTACTTTTTTTCTTGTAGTCTCTTCCTTTCCCTTGACCGTTGTGTAGATTTACTTTCTTTTGTCTATGATTTGATTTTGGATATGTTTGGCCTTTTGAATATTTAAGGTCCTTAATTGGAACATTATCTTCAAAATCAGTTGCTGATATTTCCGAAAGATCATGTAAAAGCATTTCTGTTCTTCTTTCATGATCACCTAAAAGTTATTTTTATATAGCCTATGTGATGTATAAAAATATTCAGGAGTTGGCAATTGTATCAAACTTAATAGTTTTTTGTTCTATATTTTTATTTCTAACCTGAAGGCTGCCGTTATATTTTAGTTAAATTACTAAACTGTAAGAATGTTATGAGCATAAAAAAGAAAAAAATGCACTAATAAAAAGGTGAATCATCATCAACATTTCAGCCTATCACAAGTCCATCACAGAATAAAGCTCTCTCTTGTAGATTACCATCAAGGATGACCTTAAACCACCCGCATTCATCAATTATCTCCATGCCTCATCACCAGTATCACACTAATAAATTATATTAAAAATATCAAAAAAACTGTTACTTAATTTAATTGTTTGAAATATTTTTATCATTATCATCAATCTGTAACTGTCTACTAATTTACACAGGTACTATTTCATGCAAATAAACAATGCCATAAGTAATTAACACATAAGCACTTGTATCACAGTTAAAATTAACAATGTAATCTTAGATACATAAATCACTTATTACCGGTTACTATAATCATGGAATTTTGCGTTTTTCATACGGCCCATAGAATAAGATACGAAGTATGTGCAAGAACCGTAATTATAACAAGCTACCACTAAGATGTCTATTGAAGACTTAGCACGTACGGGTGGGAGAGCTTCAAGTAATGGACTGTGCAAATAAATGTATGGGCATAATATTTTGGTGTGTTTCTATAAAATTTTTGATTTTTTTTTACTTATTATAAGCCAGTGCTTGACCACAATCTCACCTGGTGGTAAGTGGTGATAATGGTGGCCTTAGATGGTAAATCGCACTGTCTTAGCGTAACAAAAGCCTATTCACTCTTGCTTTGAAGACGCCCAGATTATATTCGGACGGAAAAATAGACGCCGGCAAATTATTCCACTCCTTTGCTGTACGCATTACATAAGACGAAGCAAACCGTTTGGTTTTAATGCGTGGAATATCGACAACAAAGCGGTGAAGACCCGCCGACCGCCTGGTTGTCCGATGTTGGAATGGTGAGGGAGGAATTAAAGCGTGTAATTCCTGAGCACACTCACCGAAATGGATCCTATAGAATATCGAGAGACTGGCTGCTCTGCGCCTGTGCTCGAGGCTGACAAGATTGGTTTCAACCAAATCAAGGTCACCAATGAGCCTCTTAGCACGTCTCTACTGAGTCCAACGCTGCCACGAGGCATTTTGCAGCACCAGCCCATATATGACAGCAGTACTCCATGCACGACCGGACTTGCGCTTTATATAAGGTAAGAAGCTGCCCCGGCGTGAAGTACCGCCGCACCCTTGCAAGGACACCAAGTTGCCTTACGGCTGCTTTGGCTCTGGACTCAATGAACCGCCCATAGTTTAGGTTCGTAGAAAATTCAGCCTCTAACAACTGAAGGCGGTCAGTGTACTTCAAGGATACATTGCGGAAAGTAGGAGCCTAGGTGAGCGGGCTCCTTTTAGCAGTGAACAGACACGCTTGTGTGTTGGAGGCGTTAAATCTCACGAGATTGGCATCGGCCCAGTCGGAGACTGCCTGTAGTGTGAGACTCACGGTCAACCATAGCCTCTCTTTCCGACTGGATTTGAGCCCGACTGACCCGGGCACATGGTTGGTATCTCTCCACAACTGTGCTGTTGTGTGAATACCCACAGATACCGGGAATGAGCAGATATTTATATGCAGCAGGAAGAGAGTTGTGGAGAAAACAGACCCCTGAGGAACACCGGCGTTAGTCGCCACAGTATCGGATGAGCAGCCATCGACGACGACCCGGAGAGACCGTTCACTTAAAGTCCTTCACCCAGGCAATCAGGCCAGGAGATAAGCCGTACGCTGAAAGCTTGCCAAACCCTGTCAAAGGCCTTCGAAACATCGAGGGAAACAGCAAGTGCTTCACAACTGTTCTCGAGGGCTTCGCCCCATATGTGAGTGGCATACGCTAGAAGGTCCCCATTTGATCGATTTCGGCGAAACTGGCAATCACTGAGACCATTTTAATTTACGTATGCCATGGGGTTGGCGTTCAATATACGCTCCATAATCTTTCAGAGTATAGAGGTAATTGAAATTGGCCGATTATTGGCAGGGTCGGTACGACTACCTTTTTTAGGCACAGGCTGCACATTGGCCAGCTTCCAAGATTTAGGCACTATCCCAGTCCTGTATGAGAGGCGGAACAAGCGTGTCAACACGGGAGACAGCTCAGGTACACAGACCTTTAGAACTATAGCTGGTATACCATCAGGTCCACTAGCCTTGTTCACGTCTAGACTTCGGAAGGTTTTAAGAACCTCCTTGTTGGTGATACGAACCTCTGCCATAGAGGTACCGCAGTGAAGTAATTGAGATGGTACGCTGTTGCTACTGTCCAGACGCAAATTGCAAGCAAAAAGAGAAGCAAATAAGTCCGCTTTCTCCTTAGGCGCATGCGCCAGTGAGCCATCTGGTTTTACCAGCGGAGGCAGTGTAGACCGACAGAAGTTTGTGTCGAACGCTTTAGCGAGAGACCAAAAAGCTCTACTGCCAGATGGTTTGAAAGAGCTTTGTACCGATGCGTTTAATGCGGTTGAAACTGGCGTGGCGTAATGCCTTTTTGCAGGACTTGGCGGCTTGGTCTCTTGGCTCTCTTCTTAAAGCTAACATTCGGAGCTTTGCGGTCTCGAGCATCGACCCAGGATAAGTACGACATATGCTTGTGTTTTTCAGCATGAGCGCACTCGGCGATGAACCATGGGCGAGCTTTACCACCAATGGGCACGTCAGCAAATGGGATGAAATACTCCATCGCTTAACGTTTCACATCGGTTATGGCATCCGCACAGCTCGACGGTCGTCAGACGAGAAGCAGACCTGTCGCCAAAGATAAGATGCAAAGAAATGTCGCATCTCATCCAAATCTGCTAACTTATATTGCACGGTGTACGCCACACTCGCCGCACACCGTGGAAATCGTAGTTAGGTAGGAAATATAACGACACAGATTTCACCAGTGATCAGAAGTTCCCAAGGGTGAGGTAACCTGGACATCGTACCTGTCTGGATCGGTCCTCAGCAGAAAGTCGAGACAGTTGGCTGTGTGCCCATCCACATCAGGTACCCTAGTCGCTGTTGTACCAGGTGGGAAAGCCCTAGCGACAAGGCCAAATTCCACGCCTCTCTCCCAGCGTGGTTGGTCTTCTGGTATGGGAACTGCCAGTCCTGATGACAAGCATTAAAGTCCCCCAGGAAAACCAACTGTGCATTAGGGTACCGATTTAGAGTCACATTAGAGGCTTCGCTGAGGTGTTCAAACAGCCTATTTATCTCCTGGTCACCGCTGTGCGATCGGTAGACACAAGAATAAATATGTGTCTATCAATACCCATATCGTAGAGAAAGTGGGGTATTCAAGGTGACGGAGATGCTTACAGCAGATGTGGTTGCGGATGTAAACCTGTGTTTACTCCGGCACGCTGGTGGAAATTATGCTCCAATGTGTACCCAGGGTAGCCAAGGTACGCCGCATCTAGACGACATCTGATCTGCGTCTCAGTCAAGAAAATGAAGTCAAGAAAAGAAGTGCGGCTTGTCAGTCTCAAGGTTAGTAGTGGACTGCATTGAGATTATCGTGCAGGCCTCGGACCTTCTTTTTCCTTTTTTTACATAAATGGTGGGAGTGAATAAGTTGAGAGAATGGCATTTGGACGAGGCGTCACACATATAACCTAGGGAAGCTAACAGAGTCACAGCATCGATGGTACCTAGCATGGAGATAGCGGGAACACCCGAATCTTCCTGAAAATCTCTACCAGGCCCTCTCCTCCGGTCGCCGACCGGCATGGTGGAGCCATCCCAGGATTTTTCGTAAGATGGCCTAGCAGCCTTTCATGAGTAGTTGGCTCATTAATTGGGCCCCCAACTATCTACGGTCGGCCAGCGTTGCAACCGTGCTTCGGATCCCTCTAACCTCCATAACCAGACACCTGACACTAAGAAACGGCCGCATCGCAACCAGTTAGTATGAGCAACACAACTGTCCAGACGCATTTTCCCTAAGAAATAGGTTTCACCTACCATCATACCGGAACACGATTTGCATCATTTGGCGATATATCTTTGCCAGGTGGTTGGTACCTAACCCTCTGCCGGGCCTGTCACTAGTAGAGGACCAACCTACCACCAGTATGTAGTGCAGCTCGCTTATCACTACCCAGGGGATACGTGTAGGGAATCAGGATTCAAATAATTCCTATGGACGCAAGCAGCTACATCCCCCTGAATTTTCTAAAAGCTATCGAGCTTAGTGTTCTTTTTAATTTCTTTAACCACCATTTTTGATATGTTACATTGAAAATTCATAGATTTAAATAAAAAAGCGGTTTTATTGTATTAAAATTATAGTGTAGTGTTTTCATATAGTGAATTCAGTCAATGATATGAGTGACCTTGATTTATTATTTGTATTGACTGAATAAAAATACTTCGCCAAAAATGCATTTAAATCTAAATAATTTGAATTAACTAGAAATTTTTATATACTTGTACAGTATAGGTGTCATATTACATACTCCACACATAATATATATTAATTACACATTATTGAAATGGTTACTTCTGAATAATGTTTAATTCCATAATTTATAATAGAATAAAATAAAATTAAACTATAGAAATTATTGTAAATTAACAGTCTAAGATTCTAACTGGTTACTGCATTAAAAGTATTTTTATCAAATATTGTGTTACAAAAAAGTAACTGTTTTAAACAAAATGTTTAAATAAATATAAAAAATATCATAACTTTTTCACAAATCATAAATTAAGTATATTATAATATGTATTTAAAATTATCAGCCTAAGTAAATTTCTGGTAGCTATGAGCATATAATATGCATATATTGTTTTATTAGCTAACCCATTAATGATATATTATGAAAGAAATGACACACACAAGCATATGCCAAAGCATTTTAGGAAGGCTTTGTTATGCAACCGATTAACAGATATTTGTAATTAGTGGATGACGTTAAATAATAATAATAAAAAGTTGTGCAACACTGCAATATCATTTTGGTACTTACTTTGGTACATACTTATACAGGACAAGAAATAGCACTTGTTACCAATAACTGTTGTTTGTATATAATTGATGATAACTCAAATGATAATGGCCGACCGGCTGTTATCATCTGAGTCGGGTCATGAATGTCAGTATCACTATAAATGTGGAAACAACTTGCAAAATGTAAGTAATTTGCTATCAGCTTACGTCCAGTCTATGACACATAGAAACCTTTACGTATGCTGATCAATGATTTAAAAGATCAAGTACAAACAGCATTTATAATAAATCTTCAGGAAGATGACAGTAACAAAAATGACTCAGATAAAGATGAGTAATAACGCATGTTTATCAGTGGAAGTCATTACCTCTCTCACACAGACAGAACATTAGACAGAAAAATATTAATCACTTTCCACCATCAAACAACCAGGCGGTCAGCGGCTTTTTACCTTTGATAATGTTCATTTGTCTTTCATAATGCATTCAGCAAAGGAGCGGATTAATTTGCCGCCATCTGTCTTTCCTTCTGAATACAATCTGTATGTCTTCAAGGCAAGAGTGAATAGGCTAAGAGAGTGTTATTTAAAATCTAAGGCTTCATCACCGCTTACCACCAGGTGGGATTGGGATCAAGCAATGGCTTATAATAAGTAAAAAAAAAAAAAAAAAAACTTGTGGTCAAAAGTGACTGCTCTCCCTCCAAGCCTACGGCTTTACAAAAATACTCTAGGAGTAAGGCAGACAAGACTACGTGGAGTCGGGGTGTGTTGGTTTAATTTTAGTACAGATTCGATCAGATCAGATATCTTATTGCCTTCGCTCCCACCACAACCTTCTAAACTATTACAACTGAAATAATATCTGGGTGTTCAAGTATTTCTGGGTAGTTTTAAACAATTCAGAAATAAAACAGTATATTATAATCATTTCTTTGTTGTCTGTATCTCTTTTATCTATAATATAAAAATGAATCGCTGAATGTGTTGCTAAGCGCAAATCTCGAAAGCAGCTGAACCGATTTTGCTAATTCTTTTTTTATAATATTCCTTGAAGTATGAAGATGGTTATTACGGAGAGAAAAATTGAAAAAATTGCCTGAAAGTCTAAAAACAACACGTTTCTATATTCCCATAAAAAAGATTTGTAATAATACTTAAGTCAATTTGAACTTTAATACCACACCATAAAGTTTAAGTGTTAGTGGAAGGGTTCCGGGAAGGCAAAACAATTGAGTGACATTAGTATTGTATAAATAAATATTAATGTCAATATTTGTCAATATTTATACACTCTGGCAGATAGCCGATGTTACAAAGAGTAACTTGGGCTGCTTTTATTTTAGGGTTCCACAAAAAAGAACTGCACACGGGCGAAGTCACGGGGAACAACTAGTTCTTTATAATTTCTCTTCTCCATAAATATTCATACATGAAGTCGGTAAAATTTTCTCTATTATAATAGTTGTCTTTAGTGAAATATCTCTTGACAGAGAGTATAGACAGTAGAATAATGTGACACTAGTCTTACGTCCTTGTCACACTTCCACAAAATTCTGTATGCTATCTAGCTAACACAGTAATATTGCATATGTTTTTCCATGTTTTACGCATTTTAGGTTATAATCGTTTTTATTTATTTTTTCGATAATGGTGCATTACCTTTTAATGTGAGTGGTATTATTATAATCGGGGACGAAATCTCTACCAAATAAAACACCTTACTCCCCCAAATTCCTGTCAAACGATTCTAAATCCAACCCATATTTTTGAATATTTTTGTCAATTAATTTTGACCAGAAATAGTTTAAACTGTAACATATATATTTCAAATCTAATATAATATTAATTATATTTAATTTTAATTCACAACAAAAATACTTACTTACTTATCTTCACGCACAATCCCTGACGGGGTAACCAGAGAGAACAGATCACTAGGTGTCACGATCCTTACATACCTCTTTCACTTCTTTCAGATTCATTATCTTCTTCATACATGCACGTCTAAGTATCCGAGTACTCTTGACCCTCCCCTCTTCAAGCAATTTGTTCTCATGGTCTTCGAAAGTTAGTCTCGGTCTACCTCGACACCTTTTAATATTTACTTTCGCGCTATATATTTTCTTCACCATTCGGTCTTCACTCATTCGCTCAACATGCCCAAACCATCGAAGCACGCCCTTATCAATTTTTGTGATAAGATCATCTTTCAAACCTGCCATATTGCATATCTCTTCGTTTCGCTTTCGGTCGGCCATGGTAAAGCTGCACATTTTACAAAGAGATCGCATCTCCACTGCATTCAACTTACTTTTATGCTTCTTCTGGCATACCCAGGTTTCGCTGCCATATAACAAAGTCGGTACCAACACTGCATTATGTATTGCAAGGCGTGCACTCTTCACTACGCCTTGCCTTTTGACTAATGCAGTCAGGGCACCATTGACTTTGTTCCCGGCAGCGACACCGCAAACAAAAATACGAATATTTAAATTGTGTAAGCAAGAATATTGAAGAAAAATGGTAATTTTGATCTTACTTTTCCCGAAAACGATCACTGAAACTTTGTACATACATCTTAAAAAATAGAACAGTAGTTAAGTGAAAGTGCTTACTTAGGGTAGTTAATCTGAAGGTGTGTCTAATAATTTAAGTGCACATAAAAATTTTGACAAATAATAATTATTATTAACAATAATATGATATTAATAAATTAATCTTTATAATAACACATGGCCAAAAAGGAAACAACGAGTACTACATTATTTACCTTGCGAAATTGATGCCCTTTTTGCCTTCTTTCTTTCAAGGACATTATTATAATTTTCTAACACTTGTAATCGTTGTCTAAGTAAGAATTCTTCCTCCGAAGATATATCCGAAAGATCATCCAAATCATCAACGATTTCTCCCTCTTCCATCTCTGAATCATTATTTACTGAAGGAATGTTTTCAATGCTCGTCATTTTGACTTCAAGCGTACATGAAAGAAGTAATCAACAAGTAATCTCCAGTAAGGATGTAATAAAAGTATTAAACATTAAATAATATAAATAACACCAACAAAACTTTAAATAACTTATAAAACTCTAGTTTTATGATATTGGAATCAGAAATTTAAATATTATAGAGATAACACGGATCACGGATCGTAAAATAGTCCATGCTAGGGATGTTCGATAATTATCGATGTTCGAATTCGATGATCATCATCGATGTTAAAAATAAAAACATCTATGCTTTAACATCGATGTTGACACATGTCAAACATCGAAACATCGATGCCAATGAACCCATAATAGACGAATGCGAACGAGCGAAATCAATATAAACTAAATCTTGCATCTCCTCTGAAGATTTAAAATTTTGATTAATTCAGAATTCATAAACACATCGCTATCAAAATGTGTCAAAATTAATGGTCACTGCTTTCGCTTTATTTTGTAGTGTCGTCGTCAGTTGTCGCATAATAATTATTCTACCTAAATTGAAATTCAAATTAATTGTTGCTTTTTTCCCTTGATGTGTATACCCTCATAATTTTGAAACAATATGTCAGTACCTACACATATACAAAAAACATCGATAATGGTCAACATCGATGTTTTGAGTAGGCTACATCAATGCCAACATCGATTGTCATCATCTAGCACCCCTAGTATATGCAACTATGCATAAAATATCACACACGGTTTTTTAAGATTTTGGCTTGGATGCTTGTTCTTTATGCCATTCACACATCTTCATCACAAACTAATAAGAAGTGCTAGCTTGGTACTAGCGGAATTTACATTTATCTCAGTATCAAGCATAGACTTACTTAGAACCGTAGACAGAGAATCCAATAGACGGCGGGGTCCCGTAACCACTATTCTGCCTTTCATTTTTTTTTGGAGTTTATGGCCTGGTATCTAGACCTTTAGGCCAAGTCTTAAGTATTTTTATTCGGTTTATTGTAATTTCCCCACTCCTTCATAGTATACTGCTTCACAATATGTTGATGCGTCACATTGTGCAGTTCTTGGGAGATTTTGGCGGCAACTTGATCCAGCAGACAGCTGATAGTTGGCGATGGTATCTAAAGGTGCCTATGCAAACAAACAGCTTATCTTGAGAATCCATCACCATCAGAGCACTTGTTTCACTGTTTCCACTAATAGTTCACATGCGTAGACACTTAATACACAAAATCGCAACACTTTTACATATCAAAGTCCACTTCAAACCATTATTTAAACAATAATACAGGAGCAGCAAACCGCCGCCGGTCAATTTCCCGCCAAAACTCTTCTGCCTTTCATTCTCGCATCACAGTGCTGCCATTTTGGCAATGTTACCAACAAAATACGAAGATTTTGTATGTGAAGCGTACGTCAGCAATTCTAGGCCACTTTATTCACATGTTATTAGGATAGGATAATTAAAGCAAATGAAACAAATAGATAATATTAATAACAAATATTAAAACATATTTATTTGTTAAGAAAATCATAATAATTGCACTTACAGGTGATGGTAACTTCAATGTAATTATAATTGTCCTTGAAATAAAACTACTTCTCCGACAGATTTTGCTGCTATTTCAATTTCTTGGTAAGATTTCTTGGGATACCCAGTGCCTGAAACAGAACGTTAAAATTTTTTAATCCATTAAACATAATATTAGCGGCCGTTATTCATCGCAAACAAGAGATTTTCAATTGTGTTCATAATGTTACATGTCACCTATACCATATTCAGCAAAGCAAAATGAAAACAAGGAAACCAATGGCTCTCAAAAACAACGACAATTAATGCTGTGCGTAATGTCAGCTAATCAGTCAGTGAGTATTTCAGCTGTTTTTTACATATACAAATTTAAAGGTAAAGATAACTTATTCTACTGTTCACTCTCTGGTTTTAGTGTTTAATCAATCCCATAGCCCACTTGTATGACAGTTAGGTGCCACCAATTTTCGTAAGCGGCACAACACAATCTTTTAAAAACTTAAAACCTAGCGCAAATGTGCTTGTCCATAACTACATCATCAATCTAATGCCCATTTTTAGTAATTTTAACGTCCCCTTGGAAAAATATCACATAATATCAATATTACTTAGCATTTAATAATAAAATATAACAGCATGTCATTACAATATAAAGCTATAAATTTATATTAGTTCTTATCACTACTACTAGTGTTTAGGTAGCAAGGCAATGAAATTAAAGACGCACTGTATTTGGTTGTTTCATCGTTGCCGTGTAGTGGCGGTCAAGAATATCCACTACCCCATATCCTCCCGTGGGTGTCGTAAAAGGCGACAAAGGGAAACAGGCAGAAGATGGGCAGCAGCATCTTCCTGATAATAGCCAAAATTATAATAAAAAAACTGCGGTTGCCAACCCGCTCGCCAAGCGTGGCAACTATGGCAAATACCCCCCCAATGACTAAAGCAACAAACAGACGGCCCCCAGTCCCCGGCGGCCTCGCTATTCCTGGCTACGGTGGCGACCATGGTAACGGCAGGGCAGGGGGTGCTAAGAATCTCCGGTGGAGGTTCGGTTGCCACCTTAGACGACTCGACCTGGCAACGTACAACGCACGCACCCTGAGGACTGACGAGAAGATCGTGGAGCTGGAAGAAGAGATAGACAAGTTGCGCTGGCATAATATAGGATTATCCGAAGTCCGAAGAGAGGGGGAGGTAACGGTAATCCTCGAATCCGGCAACTTGCTCTATCACCGAGAGGGTGAGCATCTGTCCCAAGGAGGTGTCGGATTTATCGTCCACAAGTCTCTTGTTAACAACGTTGTAAAGATCGGGAGTGTGTCGACGAGGGTTGCGTACCTTATACTCAGAATCACCAAACGGTATTCGCTGAAGGTCATACAGGTTTACGCACCAACCTCGGCACACCCCGATGTGGAGGTGGAGGAAATGTATGAGGATATCTCTAGAGCCATGCAATCCTCCAAAACCCAATACACGGTGTTAATGGGAGACTTCAATGCAAAACTAGGCACAAGAGAGAACGGTGAGCTGAAAGTAGGGAAATTTGGAATAGGGCAACGGAACCCAAGGGGCCAGCAGCTGGCCGACTTCATGGAGAAAGAGGGACTCTTTATGATGAACTCTTTCTTCCAGAAGCGGCCCCACAGGAAGTGGACCTGGTCGAGCCCCGACGGTTCGACAAAAAATGAGATTGACTTCATTATGACGACCAGACGACAACTGTTCAGTGATGTCTCCGTGATCGCGAGGGTGAAAACTGGTAGCGATCACCGAATGGTTAGAGACACACTGAACCTAAACGTTAAGTTAGAGAGGTCTCGTCTAATGAAGTCAACGCTCCGTCCCCCTCGTGCTCTGTTCCAAAGTCCCGAAACCTTTCAGCTCGAGTTACAAAACCGTTTTCAGTGCCTAGAAGACTGCAATGAAGTGGACGATATGAATGACAAACTCGTGGAAACTGTCCATACGGTCGGAGCTAAGTTCTGCAAGACCCGCCGCAGAAGAACACAAAAACTCTCCGATCACACTCTTAATCTCATGGCTGTTAGACGGGAGATGAAGCTACATTCTTTAACAGACTTGACAGCATACAGGCATCTGAACAGACAGATCTCCAAATGCATGCGGCGGGACTTACGCAACTTCAATACAGCTCGTATTGAATATGCGATCGAGAGGAACCAAGGCTCCAAAGTCTTTGCCAGAGATCTGTCTGCCAGAAAGAGCCAACTGTCAAAGCTGAAGGCGGAATGTGGCAGCATCGTTTCCGGGACACCTGAGATTTTGAATGAGATTGAGAGGTTCTATGGGCAGCTGTATACGTCATCGTTGGAGCCACACGCAAGTGTGAGTAACGATCCAAGAGCGAGTCTCATCCGACACTATTCCGAAGATATCCCGGACGTCAGTCTGAGCGAGATTAGAATGGCTCTCCAGTATCTTAAAAATGGTAAGGCGCCAGGCGAGGATGTAATTACAGCGGAGCTTCTGAAAGCGGGTGGAAGACCGGTACTTGAAGTCCTTCAGAAGCTCTTTAATTCCGTCATCCATGGTGGCATTACACCGGAGGCGTGTAGCAGAAGTGCGGTGGTCTTGTTCTTCAAGAAAGGTGACAACGCTCTCTTGAAGAACTACAGACCGATTTCCCTTCTGAGCCGCGTCAACGTGCTGTTTTCGAGAGTCATTACGATTCGTCTCGCGCGCAGACTTGACGACTTCCAGCCTCCCGAACAAGCCGATTTCCGAAAGGGCTTTAGCACCATAGACCACATACATACCCTTCGGCAAATTATACAGAAGTCCGAAGAGTACAATTTGCCACTATGTCTGGCGTATGTGGACTATGAGAAAGCCTTTGATTCCGTCGAAATTTGGGCGGTGCTGCAGTCCCTTCAGCGGTGCCAAGTTAACTGTCGGTATATCGAAGTGTTGAAGTGCTTGTACAGTACGGCTACGATGGCTATCCGAGTACAGAACCAGAGTACGAAACCTATCCAATTGCAGAGAGATGTAAGACAGGGTGAAGTCATATCCCCGAAACTCTTCACCGCTGCATTGGAAGACTTTTTCAAGCTTCTGGACTGGAAAGGATACGGTATCAGCATCAATGGCGAGTATATCACTCACCTTCGATTTGCCGACGATATAGTCCTTATGGCAGAATCGCTGGAGGACCTAAGCACTATGCTCAATGACCTCAATAGTACTTCCCAACGGATAGGTCTAAAGATGAACATGGACAAAACAAAGATCATGTTTAATGTCCATGTCACACCTATGCCGGTAGTTGTTGGGAGCAATAAGCTCAAAGTTGTTGACGAGTATGTTTACCTGGGACAAATAGTCCGACTAGGTAAGTCCAACTTCGACCGAGAGGTCAATCGACGGATTCAACTCGGTTGGGCAGCGTTCGGGAAATTACGGCACATCTTCTCGTCAGGTATACCTCAAAACTTGAAAACGAGACTGTACA